AACATTGTAACACTGAAAATAATTTACAGACGTGTAAAATCAGCAACATGCGTTATGAAACATATTCATCATATGAAATGAAACTACATATAAGACTTGAGATGCACTTCTGTTGCATAAATCGAAAAGATTCGAAAATACGCAAAATATTGCTTTACCGGATTTTAATCCATAACGGATAAAAATTTATTTTATTTTTCATAATTTTATTTCTTATCAGAACAGATTTGTCTGACTTCGTGTTAAACGAGTTTATATACTTAATATTATTAATAATGAAAGTAATAAGTAGAAGGTAAGTAAAAATCCGGTATATTTATGGGAGTAAAATTTTGCATACGAGATGCATACGTATAATTATATATACAAGTTTTAACAAATTGTCATTGAAATAAATAAAAAAGCCCATTATTAATTTGCAATAATGTTGTCTTGCGATGCACTTAATCTTCCTTTGATCGAACGGAAATTAGATTAGCCACTGATTGCTGCTTAAAGGCGCGCCAATAATAAAAGCGCCCTGAAAGCACGCATTACTTTGGATGCCGTCCGACACATTAATTTCTCTCGATTAGCTTTTGAGTAGCACGACACAGCAATGGCGTGAATGTACATGCGAAATAAAAACCTCGACATTAAAATGTCGGTCGGCACTCGGCATAAGTGGTTCTGATATTTATTATGCATATATATATATATATATATATATATATATATATATATAACGCCTCGTAATTAAATTTAGTTTACAATGTCGAGACGTTAACTCATTTCTGCGAATTCTCAAGAAAAAAAAATAATTACCGTAGCTGAATTTTACGATAATTATATAATATTTGCTATCGTATATAACTATAATATTTTTAAGGCATAATTTTAGTAGAAAATTTCCTATTAAATTATAATAAAAAATATGAATTACCTAGCTAAAATTTTGACAGATGCATCTGTCAAAATTAAATGGTAATTAAATTTCAATTGTAATGTAAGAGCATCTAAATTTTGACTATTTGAATTTTTTTAACTATTTTTTTCGGTACATTTTTAATATTTAAAGTTGCTTCAGATGGAAATGAAATTAAAGAGCGATAGCAGGTCTCCGGCGAAGTTTCGTTTCCTTCGATCACAAAACGCGGTAAAATCTGTTTTTCTTTTTTCCGTCTTGAAAGTCCCCGACGATAATAAATTGCATGCTATCAGGAACGTACACGTGGTGCACCGGAAATTCTTTTTATTCGCCGTGACAGGAGACAACCGCGAGATGCAATGACAGCCGCCGACAATTTTTTGCACGTCGATTTTCTGCAAAACTTGGCACTAGAAATTCGCCGCGACGGGAATAGACGGGATGGAGGAAGCTTATTTTCAGATCATCCGTACTTAATATACATCGGAGAACTGTCCGATGTAAATTACGCGCCTATTTTTTTTTTGCTTACTCGAATTCTAATTTTAAACAGGTTGTCAAAATCCATCGAATATAATGACGTTTCGCACCGCGGATCTTCTCTATTATTGTCCGATCAAGAATAGAGATCTCTCTTTCTGTTCAAAGAATTCGAATGCAACTTTAATAATTAAATTAATAGTTAAAAATGTGTCGGTCATTGACAGAAGTGAGACGTTTTTATACCGAAAAAAATATTATAATAAAAAAGTATATATATTTAAGAAAATATTAGAATAAAGGAACATTTAAAAAAATATTGGAATAAAAAGTATTTAAAGAAATATTAAAATGGCCAAATTTCTAGGTATAGATAATTAATATTTTTAAGAGGAAATTCTCTATCGGGAAAATTTCAATCACTCTCGTAGCGAGTTTTTTGAATCATTGACATAAGTGTTGATCTTTTTACATAAAAAAATATTAAAAAATATTAAAATAAAAAAGTATTTAAAAAATATTAAAATAAAGAAACATTAAAAAAATATTAGAATAAAAAGTATTTTAAAAAATATTAAAGTGGCTAAATTTCAGCTGTAGGTAATTAATATTTTTAAGAGGAAATTCTCTATCGGGAAAATTTCTATCACTCTCGTAGCGAGTTTTTTGAATCATTGACATAAGTGTTGATCTTTTTACACAAAAAAAATATTAAAAAATATTAAAATAAAAAAGTATTTAAAAAATATTAAAATAAAGAAACATTAAAAAAATATTAGAATAAAAAGTATTTTAAAAATATTAAAGTGGCCAAATTTCAGCTGTACAGGTAATTAATATTTTTAAGAGGAAATTCTCTATCGGGAAAATTTCTATCACTCTCGTAGCGAGTTTTTTGAATCATTGACATAAGTATTGATCTTTTTACACAAAAAAAAATATTAAAAATATTAAAATAAAAAAGTATTTAAAAAATATTATTGTAAAATAAAGAAACATTAAAAATATAATATATTAGAATAAAAAGTATTTTAAAAAATATTAAAGTGGCCAAATTTCAGCTGTACAGGTAATTAATATTTTTAAGAGGAAATTTTCTATCGGGAAAATTTCTATCACTCTCGTAGTGAATTTCGCGACACGCAAAAACCCTTTCATTTTTGTTGCGGTGGACACGCAGGTGCGCGTAATAATACCTGTCTCTCGTGGACGCACAATAACGCAGAGCTGGACCGGTAGAAGGACGCGTCCCCCTTAGCCCCCTGTTTTTTTTCAACATCGCTCTCACAGCGTGCGGTGCGTAAGGGCACTCCATCACTCTCGACGATGATTCCGCTATCCACCAGGCAGATATATCTATCCGTCTGGTCTAGGACCAGAATTCAGCGTTGACGCGCCCTTCACTCCGACAGGTGCGAATCCGGTCTTGTTTTCTATTTCCGGTCCCACCGCTAATTGTATATTTGATATCCGAAAAAGGCGCAGATTTTTTTTACGAATTTTTAGGCGCTCGATGCATTGTTGAGGGAAGAATGAGAAGCCCGAAGAGAGAGAGGAGGTTTATCGACGTCGCGAGGGTTGTTTATTTCTCCCCTTCAACCCCCTCCTGTTTTTCCGCCAGGACAATCCTTATTGTCTGCTGTACCTACATGTTAACGGGAGCGGAGAAAAGCGGTTGTGTAACAACGAAAAATAATAGGTGCGCTGTTCGATGAAGTTGCGGTTGTCATGACAGCATCCGGCTCGACATATCGAAGCCAGTGATTCGAAACAAATAAATAACATCGAGGGTGAAAATTGTATATTCTGAGGCCCCCCTTTTTTTAGAAATTTTTTAAGAAACTACTGATGTCATATGGACGTCCGCAGAATTTTTTCCAGGAAGAGGCATAGTTAAATTTTATAATTGTTTAAATTTATTTTTTTATTTTCATTTTTTAATATTTAATATACAAATATATTCCAGTGTTTATTTAAAAGACGAGCAAATGCTTAATTTTTATATTCTGAGGCCCCCTTTTTTTTAGAAATTTTCTAAAAACTACTAATGTCATATGAGCGTCTGCAGAATTTTTTCCAGGAAGAGGCATAGTTAAATTTTATAATTGTTTAAATTTATTTTTTTATTTTCATTTTTTAATATTTAATATACAAATAAATTCCAGTGTTTATTTAAAAGACGAGCAAATGCTTAATTTTTATATTCTGAGGCCCCCTTTTTTTTAGAAATTTTCTAAAAAATTACTGATGTTATATGGACGTCCGCAAAATTTTTTCCAGAAAGAGGCATAGTTAAATTTTATAATTGTTTAAATTTATTTTTTTTATTTTCATTTTTTAATATTTAATAAACAAATATATTCCAGTGTTTATTTAAAAGACGAGCAAATGCTTAATTTTTTTATTAATTCCAAGGGGGAACAAATGCTGCCTCTGATCTATTAATTTTCGGAACCTTATCGCGAATTATTAGATTCTCAAAAACTAAGACTGATCCATCTGTCATATCGCGCAAATTGTATAAATTCGAAATTCTCATTATTGCACGATTACACACTTTTTGATGAAGTCACCGCGACAGAAATATAAACTCTCTCTCGAGAAAGAGGCGTTTTACCGAGGAGAGGAGACCGCAATGAAGGACGTAAAAAACAGAAAAATAAAGAGGATTGTGTGTACTTTCCCTGAAGAAGATTATATACGAGTATATATGCAAGATAGAAAATAACGCGCGATTAACACCGCGGCAAAACAATCATAAATCCTTTCTTATATTCTCAAAGTTAATTTTTCAAATGTTGGAAAAATTGTTTTAATTTAGTCTGTAACAGCAAACTCCTACAAATGTTGTATTAAAAATTATCTTTGTTGACATTTGCACTTTCGAAATAATCGTGCTTTTTTATATTAATTTCTTACCTTGTTAAGATCCAGCTTTTTAATTTCTTACCTTGTTAAGATCCAGCTGATTATGAGATGTCTTGAATATTCAAGATCGAAACTCAACTGTGTCGTTGATTAATTAATTTTTACGATACGCAATATGTGTATAAAAATATAAAATCACGTTTTTCTGTATATGTGCATGTATATATGTATATATATGCATGCATAAGACAAATTATATCAAATCCAATTAAAGGACACGAAAGCATCGCGATAATGAAATTTTGTATCGTAAACGGAATGAAAAACATTGACATAAAATTAAATAAAAATAAGCTAATTATTCTCACGACAAGATCCACGGCTCCTGTAATTTTCTCTTATTTGAAAAAAATTCTCTCTATTCGCAATTAAACCTATATATATTGCATGTTGCATAGAATATTTGCTCTTATTCGAAAAAAATATTCATTTTTACGTATCGCACTAATTAGAGCAAATTATGCGGAGCAATTTACAAATTTTTATTGCGGATCGAAAAATCATATTAAAATAATAAGGATATTATTTTTTTCCATACACACACACACACACACGTATATACGTGTGTGTTTATGACTAATTAGAGGAAATTGCGGTGAGGGCGATTTGCAAACAAATATTTTGATTACGGATCGAAAAAGGCGCGTGCAAATACGAGAGCGGAGATAGTTTGCTGTGTACTCACTGATGAGTGGTAACGTTGAAGAAGAGATGCGAGAACTGCGGCGCCGAGTCCTCCGGGCCGTGTGGAGCGGGAAAGCTCGCGACCAACATGACCGGTTTCCGGGCGGAATTGTGTTTGCTCTGTCTTAGGAAAGCCACGCTGTCGTTGGCTATCAGGTCCGGGTAATAGTCCCTGCTGTACTCGAAGCCGTGCTTTATCTTCTTGCCGTTCATATTGACGCTGTAGTTGTAGTAGCGCGAGTTCATTATAAGACCGCCCCATTCCCGCCATCCTGGCGGGATATAAGAGCCGTTGTACTTGTTCAAATACTTGCCAAAGTACCCTGAAATCATGGAAAAAGTATCGCAAAAATTTCAATTATTTTATTTCATTTCTCATTTATTTTTTATCATTAAAAAATAGTCATGACAAAAATAATCTTGAATAATAGTCATATATAATGATAAACATAGTCATGAATAATAGTCATATATATAATGACAAAACTAATCTTAAAAATAATAGTCATAAATAATAAATAATAGTCCCGAATAGTCATCAATAAAATAGTCACTATCATGGAATCATGGAAAAAATATCGCAAAAATTCAATTATTTTATTTCATTTCTCATTTATTTTTTATCATTAAAAAAGTCATGACAAAAATAATCTTAAATAATAGTCATATATAATGATAAACATAGTCATGAATAATAGTCATATATATAATGACAAAACTAGTCTTAAAAATAATAGTCATAAATAATAAATAATCGTCACGAATAGTCATCAATTAAATAGTCACTATCATGTAATCATGGAAAAAATATCGCAAAAAATTAAATTATTTTACTTCATTTCTCATTTATTTTTTATCATTAAAAAATAGTCACGACGAAAATAATCACGAATAATAGTCATATAAAATGACAAATAATTATGAATAGTCATATATAATGACAAAAATAGTCATAAATAATAGTCACGAATAATCATCAATAAAATAGTCACTAATTTATATTTTTATATTTTAGTTGGTTTAATCTCGTGTCTTTCAATTATTATAATATGATAACACAGATATAAAAATGCATATATATATATATATATATATATATATATATATATGCATATAGTTTAATTATGCTATTCATATCGCTATGTCAAAAACTCGCGCTTATTTGCGAAATATTACTTGTCATTCATTTAACAAGTTTTATGACTAAACTGTGGATGTGAAAATTATTATATTTCCCATCAAACAAGTTAAATTAAGTGGATTAAGAGATTGTTGCAATCAATATTTAATACGAGAAAATTTGTGGCTTACACCTGTATTTTTTTCGATTATACTATACTGATTTAATGTACATAAAAAATTAAATAAGCCATGAACATGAAGTTTTAGATGTTGGATTAATGTAAAAAAGGATTTGTTCTTACCCTCAATCAATAAGACAATAATAATTAATATGGCTCGGGCACGCAATGTTACAAGGACTGACTCATGTAATAAATCGGCCACACGGCATTTCGACTTTGCGTTACTTGACGCGAAAGCGGAAAGTAGAATTAATCAAGTTAAACTAAACACGCGATGACGAAGAATGTGAGCAAAAATTTACAAGGGTTTTGTACATGACTCATGTGCACTCGATTTATTCATTATGCAGTAATAATGTTGACGATTAATCTAGTCATCTAACTAAAGTTCTAGTCATCTTACTAAAGTTTATATTAATTTTTGGTCTAATGAAAAAAAAACATAATACACAAAATACTAACATGCAAAATTTAAAATTTTTACCATTTAGTTATTTAAAAATTTAATTTATCGTTTTTTTAGAAAATGCCAGTTTTTGCTGGGTTTTTCCGGAAAATACCGGTTTTTACCATTGATATGGACTTTAAAAAAAAAGAGGAATTTTACTAACCCTGAAAATTATACATGAATATATCAATATATGTATCAATCACAGTATATAAAGAGGAATTAAATTTTGACAAACATAATTAATAAATTAGAGCTCTGATCATAAATGAAGATGACGAGATTAATTGAACAGACTCTGAAAGTTATTGTTCATTTCATTATCCGAGCAATCATTTTTGATGATGATTGCGGTAGATAGGACTGATACTTTTTTGCTCGCACATTTGTGAGCGTATATATTTGCTAACTCATACATTATAATTTTTATATTACGGTCAGTTAATATTTATGTCACATTTCTTTAAACTGAGAATTAATTTATATTTGACTTCCATCTGATATATCAAAATTGATATAAGCGAGACACAAGTATTGAATTATACATATTAAATAAGTATATTTCATTTACAATTTCTAAATAAAATAATAAAGAGGAAAGAGTCAAATTATATATAACACATAACTTTTATGATGCCATAAGATACGAATTCCTAAGTTCTTAATTTTCTGTGTATATATACATATATATTATGTGTTTAGAAATATGTTCAATTTTTCGATTTGCTCAATTCTTGTCATATTTATTTCACATATTTAGATCAATTTATGTTTGTGTTATTTTATATGTAAAATCTGCACATACTAAAAATTTATTTTCCAGCAGAGTTATAGATATTATAGTCGTCATAACTAAAGCATCTGCAAAATGCAATTGCATCATTTTTCAAGTGAATTCTTTAATAAAAATTAATTCTTCTATAAAAGTGTACATATTTGTAATATAAAATTATGTGGATAATGTTATGGGTCATAAAATTTTTGTAAATTTTTGCATACTTTATTCTACTTTTAAGATATTTCGGATAAAATGATATTTAATTTTTTAATTAAGATGTTTTAAACGTTCTTTTATACACTAAATCGAATTAAACATAAATCATTTATATATATCGTCATAAAAATATGACTCTTCTATTAATATTTAATCTATCAGTAGATATAAACAAGTTGTATCTGTTCAAGTGCGTGATTTATTTTATACACATGAAACATTTTAACTCCTATATTTGTCGAAGAAAATCCAATATTTGTTTACAGCTAGTAAAAAAAAATAAATAAATAAAAAAATAATAAAAAAACAATTGAGATGAATTGATAGTAAAAACAATTTGGACAAAAATGATCGCGCTATTACTTTTATTATATTATAGAGCGTACGAAATAAGAGAGAATTTTATAAAAAATAATTCTTTCTTGAGAAAAACGTTGCAGTTATAATTTTTCTCTCTTTATTATTTGCAGCTTAAAAAAATTTGTGCGGCGAATACATACACATTTATATTAATAAATTATCAATAATCACACGGAAAAAAATTTATTAAAGTCAAAAAAATAAGTTTCTTTGAATTTAATTTTCTTAATTTAAAGAAGTATTTGATAATTTTAAGAAAACAGTTTTATTTAAAAAAAAATGTGTTTTAAAACAAAATATTTTTTTAAATATAAATATTTTAATTTTAAAAAAGATTTATTTAATTTTAAATATTGTAGCATATAAAAAATAATAAATGATTTCTTTTAAATAAGCAAATAAATTTTTTAAAATATAAAAAATGTCAACAAAAAAGGAAAAGAAATATGAGAAAAATATCAAAAAAACTATATTATGGAGAATAAATATTAAAAAAAATCCCCAAAGTGAATATTCCGCTATATACCGATGATAAATCAAAAAGCAATTCCATTTGCCCGCTTCTATCTCTTTCGGGGAGGTTCCTCGGTCAAGATTCATCCAGTTCGCCGAAATCTGAATTATTCATATCGGAGCGGCATCAAATAATTAATTCAAAGGCGCCACACGGCGCGAGGCCATTTCTTTCGGGAGGTCTGCCTCTACTTTTGCTCCCGCAAGTTCTATTCGAAGGGAGAGCCTCGTGCGGCAGGATATAACATTTCTTATTGATAATATTATAGTTGCATGTATGACGATTTCAGAGACGAAAGCATTTCTTTTTTTGTCGGGTCCCATCGATCGTTTTACTTCTACTTTTTTATCTCGATAACATCTCAATATAAAAAATGTTCTTCTCGTCCAATAAATATGCCGACCATTATATAAATCGCATAAATCGTTATTTTTTTAACCGATTACATTTATATAGAAATAATTATTTCATTAAAATATTGAATTATACAGGAATTATAGTGCTCTAATAAATTCTGTTAAAACGCGATTTAATAATAATAATCTTTTGTTACCTGAGAAATTTTAACCATAATTACATTTATATAGAAATAATTATTTAATTAAAATTATGAAATTACAAAAATATTAAATAATTAAATAAAAATATTAAAATATTAAATATGAATCAGCGCTCTAATACATTATTGAAACATATACGGTTGTATTGTATAATATATATATATATATATATATATATATATATATATATATATATATATATATATATATATATATATATGACACGTTTTTGCTCGCGTGAGCGACATGGAATAAAACGAGTCCTCTGATTAATCACGCAATATGACGCAAACTTTTCCGAATCGTTCGTCCAGATAAAGTCAATCAGACAGCTCATTACAAACGAGATATGTTTCTCATGTCTGGACAAGATGACGCGTTGTCGCAATTTACATAAACGACCCTTCCGTTATATTCGATAATACTCGCGATTGCGCTCTAATTATCGGCAATTTGCACTTATTGAGTCTCATTCCGCGAATTCGTTGAAGCGATGACGCGATCCGATATTATATCGTCGCGAATTCATTATTTCGATCCTCGGCGCCCAACATTTACAGGGTGTCTGACATAAGGTGTCACATGAAAATATATTATATATAAATAGATATAATAATAATAATAATAATATATATATATGTAAAAAAAATGTATATATTAAATATACAGGGTGTTATAAAAGTATAATAAATCTTATTAATCGCTATGATTAAAAAAGAAGAGAAATATAAAGTCCTTTTTTATCCAAATTAATATGTAAAATACATTTTTTTTAAACTGAAGATATTACTAAAGTTCAGATTATTAATTTTTGGTCTAATGAAAAAAAACATAATGCACAAAATACTAATGTGCAAAAAATGATGGCCTTCTTCGACATTTTTGCTGAGGAAAAATCGTCTCCAAATATCGAGATCTACGTGTATATTTTCGGTGTGACACTTTATGTCGGACACCCTGTATATACTTAATTTATTATATGATATTGCCAAGTTCAGGCTTTGATTTTGCAATAATTATATGACATAATGTTATAATCAGCGTATCAGAAGGGCAGACAGTTGTTTGTGACAGAAATTATACGACCAATACGCATTTCATTCATATAAATCAAAACGTATATGCCACTGCATCTCTAGAAAG